TTAAAAAAGCTATTTAAAAGGCAATAAAAACACGAGAGAGTGATATTAGTCACATTTAAGGGAACCATCACAAAAATCTCCTTGGTGTCCTGGGTCCCCTCCCCCTCCCAGGCCTCATGGCATAATCAGATCTTGCGGGACTTGAGGAATGTGAGAGGGTTGTAGCTAACCCCACTTCCAAGAGGAGAAGATTCCCTAAGGCAGGTGCTACAACAGAGAAGGACCGCCTTTTGGGACCCGCCAAATGTAATCCCTAGCAAATGGAATCTGTAGCATGACTTGTCTGCCAAATTGTTCAAACTCAACATTTAGATCTCTGTCTCTATCTCTGTTGGATTTGCTTTCTCTAAAATACCCTACTTGTATTTAGAGTATGTGTGCTGAAAATTACATCCTGCATTGCTATTACCTTCTTTATTTCAGCAAAAGATAACCAAACTAAGGAAGAGAGAGAGCAAGTAGCCAAGATGAAAACAACTACCTTAAACCAAGCCAGATCTAATTGGCGTGTAGTTGTAACTGAAGTCAATACATTGCTAAGACTGTCTTTTGTCTATCAGTAGAAGTTATGCAAAATTCACAGGATTTGAAAATAGTAATTCATTGAACCAAGAAAATGGTAACATGTATACATCCAAGTAGTTCAGTTTTGTAAAGCTACCTGTGTAATTATTTCCTACACTTTCAGCTGCATGCTTAAAAATACTAACTGTAAAATAATTTCATTTAGGAGCATACAAATCACAATTTTGATATAATCAAATAACATTGCATGGCTTGTAATGTCATTAAAAAGTAATCTGATAAATTTCATGTAAGAACCGCCAATGTCTACTAGCAAATAAAATGATGAATCAACCTTCAGAAATCTCCTTCATTTGAATATGCCAGGATTTTATTCTTTCAGGTAAGAAATATTGTAATTGTCATTAAACAAGCAAGTGATACATGACTTGACAAATATTAAAACAAGTACTACAGTCAATTATTAATTTGCACTGTTCTCTTTTAAATGCAGCAAATATCTCATTAATTTAATTTTAGGTGCCCACCAGTTTATATTTTACAGTCTGGAAGGCAATTTACTAACTGGCAATTACATACAGAATGATTGTTAATTCTGCTCCTAAGTGCTAGCTGCTTGAAAACTGTTACGTCTCTCTAATTTCTGACCTTCTTACAACAAGGGTGAGGTACATTGGGAATAGCAAGGCCTAGCAGAGAAGAGCTGGACATGTCATTTGTGACTCATTCTTTTAATTCACCGTGCTAATCAACTGAACTGCCACAATCTCCCAAGGTAATTGTATCTTTACAATAGTTGAAAGCAGCAGGCTACAAGGCATAGATGGTATAAGAGACCTTACTCATCCTTCTGAGAATCAGCACAGCCACCGCTCTACATGTGGCTCGTGAAGTCTGGGATTGTGGGGTGCTTTAAATTGGGTAGTTTTATATCAACATACACATATCATTTGAATGCTTCCACTTCTGTACTTTGGAAGCTTCTTTTCCACACTACACCCTTGTTTCGTTCTTCTGCAGCTTTATTACCCTTTGTTCCACCTCATGCTGAGAAGGTTAAATGTTAGAATGCCAAGCCAGACTGCAAGCATGGTGGGATACTGATGAGAACCAGATGCCCTGGAGATTCTACCCCTCCTTCTTACGGGACTACATAATTTTCATATTGTGAAATACAGTGAAGTTTGGCTCAGTTTTCAGGGGTGAGTGTAATTTCCAATGATTATCTCGTTGTCCCCATCAATTTTGGGGCAATACAAATCAGACTGAAGTTTCCAGGTCAGACAGGCTGTGACCTTACCCTTCCTCTTACTTTCTCTAGCCATGTAGTACCTGAGACATGTAATAACTTGTAGCTTTTTTTATTTGTAGGCTTTCAGTAAATTAATTGCAGCCAGAAAGGTTTTAGTAACTTTGATTCCCTGAAATGTCATTCGTTCTTATGTCCTATGACTTCTTGGGACAAAGACTACATTGACCAGTGTAGTAGTGTGGATTTTAAACAGTGGCAAATTGGGAAAATTGCCATGAAAAAACTACTAAATAAATTAAATTCATCTACTAAGACTGGATTCTCATTAGTACATGCAATAAAGTCATTGAAACAACTCGTTTAGTTTGGAACTTATTAATTGCTGCTTTTAAAACAAAACAGTCTTACACAAACATACACACACTACATACCCAAACACACACACATATTGCTACTTAAATAGTAACAGGGCTATTACTGAAAAAAATATCAAAATTATTGCATAACAGTCCAGGACTTGTAGTATCACATTTGCAATATTACACTTCCGATCTATGTTAAGTCTGCTGCAGAAATTCTAGTAAAACTCTCTCTCTCTCTCTCTCTCTCTCTCTCTCTCTCTCTCTCTCTCTCTCTCTCTCTCTCTCTCTCTCTCTCTCTCTCTCTCTCTCTCTGAGTGTGTGTGTGTTTAATCACGTTGTCAACTTAACTATTTAAAAGATAACAGCTAGATTACTTATTTAACTATATTGTAATTAACCAACACAACAGCTAGGTTAAAAAGAACTAAATAAATGCATTATGATTTATCTCTATGGAACTTTTTCAATAATCTACTGCTGCTATTTTGTCATGAGATTGCTGGAAGGCTTTCAGGTAATTTTTTATTAGTTTATTCTGACTTAGATGCAGTACATATTCTTTTGAACTCTAATGGTCAGTCACTTCAGAACACCAGAATGAAACTTTTTAGAAATTTAGGATTTAACTAGAAGCTATGCACAGACATTTGTTTCTAACCAGACTAATGGCAAAATGCTCCACCCTTTTGTGCTTGCAGAATAAAATCACATGCAACTATGGAAGAAGCAAAATTTGCATCAAAAAGTCATTGTCCATAGTAATTTCTTGTTCCTTCATGTAGACACCTATATGTATGATCGAGGTTAAAACATCAGCCATGAGTTTTAAGATGTCCACAAGAAAGACACTTAATACTTAGACAACCATTTAGCCTTATATATACTTTTACCCATGATTTCTTTTAAAGTCCAATGTGCAATCTTGTTAAAACAACAACCACAGATCATTTTATAATTAATTCCAAATCTGTTCAAATGGGACAGCTAGGGGAAAAAGTGCTATTTCAGCATGTATTCAAACTTAGTATTACTTTAAGATGTATGCATTATCACTAATCTATCATGTATTTTTATTTGTCTGTTTTTATTCTAGTCCTACCCTTTATACTATTAAACTATTTTTAATGAGTCTACCAACACTTTACAGGCATCATACTGTACATATGATAAATACTGTAAATCAGCTGAGTTCTTTCCCTGGGATTATGCATCCCCCAAAAATATATATTTGGTTTAAAGATGGGGCTATCCACATCCCCTATTGATGCCAAAGACTATTTTTATTTTCAAATCTGGTACCGTAAAGAATATCCAACATGGCATCATCATAATCAATTATTACTTCCTTTACTTTGGATATGTGTTCATCACATATGTCATTGATGCTCTTTTTATAGATTTTTATCTAATTCTTTATTTAAGAATTCTAATGAAATATTTAGAAATGATTTTTGAGAAAATCCATTTCACATAAATTCTGCCCAACTCTGATTTACTTTTGAAAACTTAAACACAATTTAAATACGCATTAGCTAACATAATGCAGAAGACTTCACTTTTTTCCATTATATAAATTCTCTCTCTCTCTCTCTCTCTCTCTCTCTCTCTCTCTCTCTCTCTCTCTCTCTCTCTATCTCTCTCTCACACACACACACACACACACACACACACAGAGTCACATAGAGTACATTTAAATTTGCTCATAAACCTCTTACACTGGGATAAATCTCTCAGAGGCAGTTCAATTAATCTGGATCAAGTGACTGGATAATTTAAAATATGAAAGTGACACTTTTTTCCTCATATTTCCAACTCTACTGGAAATATATTTTAAGTTTTATATAGCCAGATATAATATTTCCCATTAAAAATCTTTCTCCCACACATAGACTACACACATACATACCCACACACAATTTACATATGATCAGTACGACTTGTGTTCATTCTTGATTACATATTCCTCCTGACAAAATTGTCAGTAAAACGATTATTACAATTTATGACTACATTTGGCTTTTTTAACTAGTATGTTCTTTGGATTTCTTTTTTAGAGTAAAAAAGAGTTTACATACAAAAAGATTATGTATTTGCAAAATTTGAATTTGTTTCTGTTTTCATTACATGTTACAGTAATGCCCATTCATAGTAATTACTGCAACCACAATTGGTCCCTACAATATTTACAATGAGGTCTACATTTATGAAATATTATGTTGTTAAACAAAAATATTTAAAACAATATTATGCAATCACAGACCACAGTACGCATTCATTAATTTTAACAGAATGTAAACTTGACTATCCTACTAAGGCTAGTAGCATCCAGAGGATGCTGTGAAACTTAGGCTTGCACACGTAAAGTCTATTTTATTTTGATTAGAGAAGATTATATATATATATATATATATATATATATATACACACACACACACACACACACACACACACACACACACATATATATATATATATGTGTGTGTGTGTGTGAGTACACACACACATATATATATACACACACACGCACACATATATATATATATATTATAATAGTTGTACAGTTTTAACATTTATTTTTTACCCTGCTCTGGATTTCTGATAATGCATTAATACATATGAAATTTATGTAGAGCTTAATTAATTAATTAAACAATAAGCTTTCTTTTAAATTAAAATGGAGTGGACATAAAAAAAATAAATACCAAGTTAGTTGAATATGGAGTTTGTTCTGTGGAATTAAGATGCATTTTGAGACTGATCCATCATTTTAAAGCTACTGACAGTAAACAAGAAATCTTACAGTTTTCCTGCATCCTTAAAACATGTAAAATTCAATTTAGAGGTATCAAAGAAACATTTACCGGTGTAGACAAACCGTCCAGGAGCACCTTTACAGAACTGTTTGGACTTGTAGGAGAGGGTTACTTCAACAACTCCAGGAATGTGCCGTGGTGGAGTTTGAACTCTGATTGCATGGGGTGTTATCAGCTATAAAAATGATATAATAAATACAATTTTAGTCAAAAGTATTCTGATAGTGTTTGCATTTATCAGCTTGATATAACTAGCAGAATGACTCTAAATTGAACCACATTATCAAAATGCTGCCATCTACCACAAAATTAGGATATTAGCAGAGACTTTGTTAAAAAAAAGAAAAGAAAATGTATCTAATGATTCTTGGTTTTAATTTCCCAAAAAGGCCACAGGCACCATTCGTATGAAAATTGCCTCCATATGTTTCCTTAAACCTGCTCTGAGTAATTTTTAAAATTGTCCAAGTGTATCTAGAAAGCCCCCCAAATGGGCCTTCTACTAGAGGGTCATGAAGTGCCTTGTGTATATTTTCCTAAATTTAGCCCAATGCCACATGTGAATTCAAAGTTCTGATGAAAGTATTTTGAAATAAGACATCACGATACTATACAGTATATCAAGACACTTGATATTTACTAGATGCATCCCCCTCCCCACCAGCATATTGTAGAACAACCTTCATCCATAACTTACCTCGCTCCACACTAACATAGTTCCGAAAACAACTTGCAAGCCATCAAAGAAGTTGTCGCCAATTATGATGACTGTAGCTCCACCAGTTGTCCAACCTTCACTGGGGCTAATTGCCTTTATACAAGGGGTAGCTGCTTGTAAAAACAGAAAATTGAAATTTTAGATTCTCTCCTTTCCTGGTGTCAGGTTTTGTA